AGCTTATTTACAACGGAGTACTAAATGAACATCCATAATATAATATATTTATAACATATATGTAATTTTGTTGTTTTTCCCATGCATTTACGTAGTCCTTAATTTGTTTGCTGGACCCCACTCTTAAAAAGACAAATCAAAACCGCAAAAAGGAAAAACCCAAAAACCCTCAAAGCCTGGTATTTTACCGATCTTTTCATTCTCTGTTCAAACTCTGGTAATTATTTACTGATTTTCTATTCAATTTTGTGTTCAAAATCTGGTACTTTTACTGATTTTCTTTTCAATTTCCGTTCAAAATCTAATCAAATTGAACCCAGATTTTTTCACTCAAAGGCACAAATTAATTGTATGTGATGATTTCTGAGCAATGGTGGCGTTAACGTTCAATAGGAAGCGAGGTAACGATTTCTTCTCTTCAAATTACAAAACCCAATTTTCAAGTCCTTCCAATTTCGACCACATTTCAAAAAAACCCAAACTTTCTATATATCAAACCCTAAATCCACCAAAATCAACTGTTCAAAGGTTTTTCATGTACCCGGATCCAATTAACCCGATTCGAAGACAAGTTCATGCTCCTTGCAGGCATTCAAGATTTGGGTCTAAGGGTATTTCAGCAAATTCAGCTCCTGAAACGGGTAATTTTGTATCAAGAGTGTACGATGAAGCTAAGAAAAGTGCTTTTTATAGTTTAAGGTGTTTGAAAAAAGTTAAGGAAGTGATATTTATTGATGATGATGATGCTAAAAAGGGTGATTTAGAAGCTGGGGTTTGTAAACAAAGTGATGTTTTTTGTAATTTGGAAGGTGGGGTTTGTGAAAAAAGTGATTTTTTAGGCCAGAAGTGGAAGCAGACTAATGGGCCTCTGGAAATTTTGAATGGTGTTGATGGTCACGATTCGTTGGTAGTAACGACGGGTTTGGATGATGGAAATTTGAAGGAAGAGAGTGTAGGGAAGATGTTAGACACACTAGCGTTGAACCCCACGTCTGATTCTGCTTTCTATGTCCCTTTGTATAAGAAATTGCTTGGTTCAGTGGGGAAAATAAATGATAAGTTGAAAAGACTGCAGTTTCAGATTGGATATAATGAGAAGTGTCTCGAAACGTATAGTTTGTTGCGGCCTCAGAAGAAAGAAGAACAGGTTAAAGAGGTACTGTGATAGAATCTGCTTTATGATTTGGTTTTTAGTGTGCTTGTAGTTTAATTTCCCTATATTGATGCTTTTAACTTGCAGGATGTGATTTCAGAACCATTTGTCCCTCTCACTGAGGAGGAAGAGGTTGAGGTATCGCGTGCTTTATCCAAATCCAATCGGTATGATTTATACATATCTCATTTTGTATGAGGCTCAATTCTATTTTCTATTTGCATTCTCGTCATATGTTTGTATTTGTCTTATTTTGTGCAGAAGACGGGTTTTGGTGACCCATCAAAACTCCAATATTGATATTACTGGAGAAATATTGCAATGTTTAAGACCTAGGGAATGGTTGAATGATGAGGTGATATTTTATGCTCAGTTTTCTACCCCGGTTTTTTTTTGTGGGGGGGGGGGGGGGAAGATTTA